CTTCTCTGTCTATTGCTACCACTTCTCTTTCCTCTCTCTTTTTCCTCTCTCATCTTATCCTTCTCTACTCATTTTTATCACCTTTTTCATGGGAATTTGGTTTTAAACATTTTGTCAGAGCAGTGAGATGCTTCGTTCTTCTACACCTGCATGATTTTGTCAAGGTGTAGTCAAATGCATTTCTGTGTGTTAACAGTCTGAAGAAAAACATATTTTAAAAGCAGTTTTAAATAAAATGTTTACATCTCAGCTCTTCACTGTTCAATCTATTAATTCTCTTCACACAAAAATTCAATATTTTCAATCATATTTTGGTAGTTTGACCATAATTTTTATTTTTCCGTAACATTTTACCTCACCGATGTAATTATTGTGATCTATTGACATGACAACATCGACAGCAGGGCATCATGAGCGGTCAGGCAGATTATGTACAAACTGAGTGTCGTCTAAACTTTGATTTGGTAGGTGAATGTTACACCCAGACTGTCCATTGTAAACATTTATTCAACTCACAGCATCTTACACCGCTCCATCTTCTTCTCTAACCTGGGGCAGGACAAAAACAGTTTGAAGTTGTTTGAGGATCAGTTTGTGTTTATGGCTGCCATCTAGCGAGGCAGTCGCACAAAAGATTGTGTATAATAAAAGAGTGCGAGTGCACGCGGAAACGCAGACTAAAGGAGCACACAGCGAACAGCACAGAGACACAGAGTGAGGCAGAGAGTAGTTGCTCTAATACGATGATTGTATGTTTGTCCCTGCCAGTTGTCAGTGCGCTGCATCAGCCCACCGCTCTAATGACAGCTTGTCATACTAAAGTGGCCCACCTTCCTTCACAACACACAGAAAAAAAAGATTCTCCTTCTTTTTCTTTTCTTTCTTTTTGAGACATCATTCTATTATTTCTGTTGTTCTCTCTCCACGGATCCACATATTTATCTCTCTTTCATGAGTCACCGTGCCTTTAAAAAGTGAGAAATGAAAAAAAGAAATAAGAACAAAGAGGAAGAGAAAATGACAGGGATCGAGGTGGAAATGGAGACAAGGGAAGGTGGTAATCTTTCTGGTTGTGTGTGTGTGTGTGTGTGTGTGTGTGTGTGTGTGTGTGTGTGTGTGTGTGTGTGTGTGTGTTCTCCCTCAGTAAGGGACAGGTAAATAGGCCTGTTGAATATTTGATGTCTGCAGGAACTAAACAGCCACTTTTGTCCCATTGCTCAGGCTGGGGACAAAACAGTCTCATATCTAGTTGGTGTCACAAACACTGAATGTGTGGTCAATTTTATCATGGACACTTATTCTGAAATATAAACCTAGGTGAATTAACTGCTATTTATTTCAAAGAGGAGAAAAAGTATATTTTGGATCAAAGTATTCACAGGTTAGCCTTCTTTTTTGTTTGATGTGGAATATGTGAAATTAAAATAAATCTTTTTGTCTAGTTTGGTAAGTGAATAAGTTTCTGTCTGAAATTATACCAAACATCTTACGATTGAACAAAATAAACAATAACTTTTCTTTCTCTGAAAAAAAGAAGCGTCATACCATTTGCTAAACATCATTTATGCAACTCAAAAAAGGAAAAATCTCTTACAGTATGTGTTACAATATGATTCTCTCCCACTGAAGTGCATCAAAAATGTATAGAATAGAATGAATAAAATGAAATTCAAAACCCTTTTCTGTAACAGAATTAAACAAAACTAAAGCTAATAATAAAATCTGATTACTGCTCTTCTTTGTATGTTACTGTAATCACCTCATAACACACTGCTCACGTCTTTGAGCTCCTTGTGAAAATACAAAAAGGAGAAGAAAAACACTCAAGCCTTTTCCTCTTTATATAAATCTCTTTAAAAACCTAAAAACATAAAGTATTGATAAAAAATGAGACCCAGCCCCTACCCTCTCTCTCCACACTCATCTGAAGAGCAGACAGGCACAATAAGACTGCTCTTTCAGCACTGAGCCGTCGTTACATAGCGCCATAATTATACTGATAACATACATACATAAATGCATTCAACCTCTCGCTCGGCACAGTGCACTGGCTGTGATTTCTTAATCTTCTTTCCTCTTCTCTTCTCCACGCATGTCTTCTTTTTTTATTCTTTTTATTCCTCCCCCTTCGACTGCCATTATTTTTCATTTATAAGCAGAGTGAGAGAGAGAAAGAGCACATAGAAAAGACGTGAGAGTGGGAAAAAAAGAGATGTTGGGAGGGAAAGAGGGAGAGAGAGATGGAGCAAAGAGGAGAAATGGAAAGAGAGATAGATGAGAATTTGAGAGAGAGAAGGGAAAAAAAGCGCCTGAGATCTTTTGGCACTTAAACTCTTTCACTTAATGGTACTCAGAGGGATTGACGGTCGAAGGGAGGGGGCACAAAAGAGCATAAAGAGTGAAAAAGGAGAGATTAAATCATCACCATCACATCATCTACTTAAATGGGTCTACTCTCTTTTTCTGTCTCCACTGTGTTTTCTCTCCCTCTGCTAGAACATAGACAACCCTGTACAATCTCTCATCATCCCATCACTCTTTCCCACATTTATTTCTTCCTTGCTCATTCTAGCACCTTATATGTTTCTGTCCCTCTTTCTGTATCCCTCCATCCTCTCTATCCCTTTTTTTACCTCCATTCCTCTCTCTTGATTTGTGTCCAAACCTTTTTTTCCACCGTCCCCCTCATTGCAAACTGAAGGCCTACCTTAGCATCAGATAAATGGATTTATAGACATTGGTGAATACCACAAAGCCACGATTAATAGAGTCACTGAATTAGAAGGACCTGCAGGGACGGGAGGGAAGAGGTGGTGATGGGAATAAAATATATGATGGGGGGGGGAGCAAAGTATTGTACATTATAAATGTCATGTCACTTTATGAAAGGAAAAATTGACTTAAAAAAAGCAAAGAATTTCTGGTGAAGGAGAATTTTGCCTCACAGTACCTGTGTAGGTTTGGCTAAAGGAAGAGGATGGCTTGTCTTATCTTGCTGCTCATCAAACACATTAGAGCTCTGCTCCACATTAAAACAGAACAATTCAGATGTGAAACGGCTGTGTGTCATTTGGCTGTCATAAGTCACTGAAGCCAACTCCTCAGTCTCTATTTCTCCATTCTGTCTGTCTCTTCTTGTGGCTATCTGTCTGTCTGCTTACCTGTTTTCCTGTCTATATCCACACCACCCCCCACCCCCACCCACACCCAACCTCACCCTTCTCTCTCCAGACTGGCTCTCCTTTCTCCGTCAAGGCACTGTCTGTGTTTTATGGGTCCCTGTAGAACAGGGATCTTTTACAGGCTGACTGGACTTTAGAAGCCCCTCGTTTAGCAGCATCCTGCCTTAATTAAAAAGTCTTTTTGTGCTTTCTGCCTTTAACAATGAAGCGGGAGAGAAGGGAGGGAGGGCAGGGTTAGAGGAATAGAGAGTGGTAATGCAAAGAGGAAGAGAAAGAGAGAGTGGGAAGAGATAGAGGAAGAGAGAAAGGGAGAGAGAGATGGCAGTGAATAGGAAGTGATAGAGAGACAGGCAGATAGATAGTAAGGTAGACAAAGGAATGGATAGAGAGATATGGACAGAGAGAAGATAGCTGTTAATTACAACTGCCATTAACAAGACACCAGTCAGCCTCCTTAGGGAGAGAAAGAAGGAAAATCAAGAGAGGAAAGAGGGAGAAAGGAAGGGAAGCCAAATAGAGAACGGTAGAGACAGCAGAGAAGAACAAGTGATGAGGAGAATACTGTAATACTTTGGTATTGATTAGTAAAGATTTTTTTTATTTCTTTTTTATAAGAGTTTTTTAATGGCTTCCTCGCTAAACTTCTTATATTGTAGCTGTCAGAATATGACCATGTATGAATCTGTGTGTGTGTGTGTGTGTGTGTGTGCGTGTGTGTGTGTGTGTGTGTGTGAGCATAATGCGTGTGTGAGGCTGTCTTTGGGATGATTGAGCAGGAGAGAGGCTGCTTACTGATTACCTTCATGTAGAACAAGCTGCTATTGACTGGAGAGTGACGGATGACCGTCGGCCCCGACCATGTGCATGTGTTTGTGTGACTGTGTGCTACTATAGATGCTTCTCTGCTACTTTATTTTACACACGGTTCCCCTAATGAACCACAATCTTTTTATTTTTTCTATTTAAGTATTTTATTTCATCTGACTGTGCCAGAGGGTTTGTTACACAGAACCATCTGGGGTGTTGTTTTTTGGAAACTGTTTGGAAAAGGGCAGGTGATTGGATGAACCATATGTCTATTACTGTCTGTTGCGAGTGAACTTAAACCAATCAGATCAATAAACCATATAACGTACTCGAACTCTTACTGAAGGCAGTCGGGAGAACAGCGGAAACACCTTTTCCATCAATAAAAGCTTCCAGTGTTGTTCTTTGTACGAAGAAATACTCTCCAGTTCTCGTATAACTGATGCTAGCTGTGTCTACACTAACCACCATTGTTGTATCTTCTTGCTGTGTCACACATATTGCCCTCCCCCAGTACGATGCTGATTGGTGCAGTACTACCATACCAGCCAAAAACGTGTAGATAGCCTAGCAGGACAGGTTCTCACATAATCTCGTGATTTTGTGATCTCGCAAGTCCAGCTGTTTCACAAGGTTATATTTTAGTACCTCGTCCCTTATTTCTCCGTCTGCACAACTCTCGATCATTTCTCTCAAGAAAAGAATAACAAATGTGATGGATGCATTGTGTGTACATGTGTGTATCAGGTTCAGTGAAAAACTATAAATCTATCATAGAAAGTGACAGTGAGGAAATACAACAACATCAGAACAAATGATTGCTATAATTGGACTTCCAAAAAATGAATTTCTTTCATTGAACATTGCCTTAACTGTATCCGTCTTTCTTCTGCCTTTCCTCCAAGGCCTCTTTTCTGTATAAATATCCATAATTTTTTTACATTTTACATGAGACATTTTTTTGTAATACTTTCTTTCTCTGTTCTATTTGTTCCTGTCTCACTCTCTCAGGCTTCTCTGCAGAATGTCCAGTAAAGAGCGCCACCTTGAGTCCAACTGTCCGTCCTCTTATATAAAGACAGAGCCGTCTAGTCCTGCCTCCCTGACTGACAGTCTAAACCATCACTCTCCTGGTGGCTCCAGTGACGCCTCTGGCTCCTATTCGTCCACGATGAACGGCCACCCCAACGGCTTAGACTCCCCGAGCCTTTACAGCTCCAATGCAGGGCCCCTGGGTCCTGCCGGCGGCCCCGGGTCAAAGCGTTATGAGGACTGTTCTTCAACTATTGGCGAAGATTCACAGATTAAGTGTGAATACATGTTGAATTCGATGCCTAAGAGGCTGTGTCTGGTGTGCGGGGACATTGCATCAGGGTACCACTATGGAGTGGCATCCTGTGAGGCCTGCAAGGCCTTCTTCAAACGCACCATCCAAGGTTGGCTTCCATTTTGAATTTCTGTCTTTATTTATCTTTCTATGTTTGTTCATCTACATTTCTGTCTGTGTTGTCTCTGACTGTATCAGGTCTACCGTCACAGGTTTGCTTTCATCTTGTTTTTTTGGCTCTATCTATACCTCAATCTCTTTGTCAAAATAACATATTACAATAAGCTGTGGTCTATATGGTGTTAAGTTGACTTGCCTACATGCCTTAAAAACAGTCAAGAAAATGGACACATTACAGGTCTGGCTTTGGGGGACACAAGGTCAGACTCAGTCAACAAAGTTTGATGGGGTTGTGTAGTAGCATGGGAGTTGTTGTCTTCACCACCCTTGGCCCCATTGCAGTCAGCCTCTCCCGGTTAGGATTTCTTTAGTGTTCATCATTCAGGAGGTTTCTATCAGGAGCCAAATTATCCACAGAGGTCTCATCCTCTCCAAAAAAAAAGAAAAGAAAAACCTTTTCACCTTAAAAATCAGTGTTTCTCCAACGCTGTTTGGTGGACAAAGGACATCCCGCAGGGCCTGCCAGCCGAGCTGCTGCTAACATTAGCTCAGCTCAAATCTCTGATAACTTAAGATCTAGACGTCCAATAACTAAGATCCTTAATCTGGTTAAAATATATAGTTAAAAAGACCAAGATGTTAAAAGTATATTGTAAAAAATGTGACTTAAAACTGGATAGAAAGTAAATTTATGACACCTTCTGGCAGACAACCACAACGCTGATGCAAGCCCAAAGGGGATATGAGGCCATTGACAGGCCATCAGTGAGACGCACCGTAACCTTAACCAAGTTTCTCTGGGTTTGAACATTGTTGAGTAACTCATCGAAATATATAACATAGGTCTAGTGTTTACGGACATTTTAATGCAGAGGTCTTACATATTATAGCTTTAAAGGTGACTAGGTGAAGTTTTTTTCATATTGAACAACCTTTCACAGAAATATGACACACATAGCACCTAAACGTAAACTATGTTCTGACACACACAAACCACACTCTTATCACACATGCACACACCTGAGCCATTACACAAAACCAGGACATATGATAAAAGCCTCAGGCCAGATGTGAACCCAGATTTTTATATGGTACATGTATCCTCCTCTGTCTGCTAAGTAAGCCACCAGGACACCGACCACAGTCTATTTTCTTCTCTGTCCTTCACCATTTCTCTTCCTGTCATACATACACATACACTCACATATACACATCCAATCAGGTTCATGCATACACACCAACTCCCAGACACGCCCCGCTTTTTCTCTCAAGCTTGACCTCTTCTTTATGAACAGCTAAGAGTAATTTCCAGGTAGTGTTTGCATTCCCAGATCTAGCTGCTTATGCTTGACAGGAAGAGTGTTAGCTATAAGCCTGTTGTCTGGGAGATAATGTTGTGTTAGAGGAAAGTCAGAGGTCATTACTGGAGGTCAGGAGTTCAGGTTAGGGGGTAGAGGAGAGAAGGGATAGAGCAGTAATCCACATGATGAGAAGAGTACCAGGAATTAGGTTTAGTAATCCTTTGCGTGTCCTTTGTTAGGGCTAGAAGTAGTCCAGGAAGTGCACAGGTATTTAGGCTGTCCTCTCCAGTTTTGGGGATATTCACTTCATACTCAGCCTCTCAGCTTGATCACCATTATGTCCTTCATTTACCCTTGTAACCACAGAACAGTCTTACAGTCAACCAATTAATCGTAAAGTGAACTAATAGAAAATAGCTATAATCTGCCATTTGTTCATCGATACACCCAGTTCAATGTATGTAACTGAACTGAAAACACAACTGAAGCAGATAGGTACTAGACTGTATACTTCTAAAATAGATAAAGCAATTTTGTGTACTGGTAATCCATCTCCCAGTACTTTCCAACTTCCTGTCAGTGGCTCTCAGCCCCAAGTCTAATCATTCATACTGAAGATGTCAATCTTTTGAAAACAGGTCAAATATAAACTTTTATTTGAGTAATTGAACACCACTTTGGTGCATTAGGTAGTATTTATGGCAGTGTGATGGTGTATGTACTGTAAGGTTGACTCAAATTAAACTTAGTAGGAACCTGACAGCCACTGCAGTGGTGTGGCTAACTTACATATTTTTAACTGTTTTTGGACAACAAATGAGATACTATGGAAAATATTATTGTCTTGGGTGTCCCTGGATATGTTGACAATAAGAAAACCCACTATCCATATGGGAAAACAGCAAAAACTCACAGAATTTTATATTAGGGCCACCATGGTGCTATGAACTAGTCAGACATTATTAGCAAGTGATAAACCTTTGAAGACTTGGTAGTTGAGTAATAATCTTTAATGATTTGTCCAAGTTTTAAAAAAAAAAACTAATAGGCCCTATCAGTCAGCAGGACAGCTCAGTCAGTATGCCACTGCAGTTACCAAGCTACCAGCCAGCCAGCCAGCCAGCCAGCCAGCCATCATCGATCCATTGAGTGAGTCAGTCAGTCAGTCAGTCATATCAGACAGGATTCATCTATCTGCCTTTCCATCCATCCACCTATCTGTCACTTCTTTCTTTTGCCTCCGATAAGCAGCTTTCCCAGTAAAGCCCCAGAGAGAGAGAGAGGGAGATGTGAAGGGCGGGGGTCGAAGTCTTACATCCACTAGATGGTCACCACTACCTAGGGATGACCTGTATGTGTTTAGTATGGGATGAGATCAGAACGTGGGGCATTCCTGACAAAGAGATTGGAGCACACACATACAGAGATAAAGGCAAAGACACACACAAACACAAACTCATAGACGCACATTCACACAGGCACACTAACACACGGGGATGACAGTCACACACATGACTTTGTAATCACTCTGTGTATGGGTTTAACCCATAATTCATCTGTCGTGGTTGTAGTGTCTAATAGTTGACCAATTCCACATGTCTCATTTCATTTGGAGGGCTTGTTAAAGGTTACGTAGGTGAGGACCCAGTTACAGGTTAAATACAAGAGCCCTGCAAACATATAGATATGGTGCCATGTTGATAGTGGAGCCTCTTTGTAGTATGACCTTGAATAGATTTAAAGCAATGTTCTGTCCCTCTTTCTCTCTCTCTCTCTCTCTCTCTCTCTCTCTCTCTCATTTTCACTCTGTTTGTAATCCTCCCTTCTACTGTAGTGGACATGATCAGAAGGTTACAGATCAGGAAGGCCGGTGTTCCAGGTTATGGGTCAAGACTTTGGCAAAGCCAGTTACAGGACTGCCACGAAAGGTTGTGACAAAATACAATAGTTTGGCAGGCAAAAGGATGGAAAGCCATATTGAAACTGGACCAGAGAGATCACAGCTATTATTTTGCATTCTTAGTCAAAAAAGTGTTTCAGGATATTTATTAATAAATTGCTAATAGTCTACTCTTAATTAATCTACACCAGGAACTTCCCATGCTTGATTTATGAAGATAAAGAAGATCTTATCAATGCAAGGCTATTTTATGAGCAAACTTCAGTTTTTAATACCAATTTCTGTGCTACAATATGACTATTAATGTTGGTTTGGATGCAGACGGAGCAGTCTTGGATCCACTGGAACAAATGGGTCATGACATTATCTTTGGCTACCACGCAAGCCAAACTCATCCACAGATAGTGTGGATGTGTGTGTTAGACTGTGTGTCTGTGTGTGGGCTTGTGGGTTTGTGTTCATCCATGTAAATGAGTGCAGGTTTATGTGTATGTCTGTGCACATATGCCTGTGTTTATGCACAGTTGTGTGTTAGTGTGTGTATCTTGGCTGGAAAGCAGGGCCAGCCTCAGATGGGCAGTGGCAGACATATTGGTATGTTTCAACCCATTAGCCAATAAAACCGCAGGTAATCACCAAAAAAACACCTCCAGCTGGACAGGGAGGAGAGCATGGGGTGGGTGAAGAGATGAGAGGAGAAAAGAAGAGAGGAGAGGAGAAGAGGTGTGTACACCGGTTTGGATAAAAAACAAGTTGAAACAAGGAATTAGAGAAAGAGGGGAGAAGGGGGGGGTGGACTGGGCACATGGATGTAGGAAGGAATTAGTGGTATGTGTGTGTGTGTGTGTGTGTGTGTGTGTATGTGTATGTGTGTGCATGTGTGTGTGCGTGTGTGTGTGTGTGTGTGTGTGTGTGTGTGTGTGTGTGCGTGCATGTGTGTGTCGCAGCATGGAGGAAGTGGCTCTGGCAGCTGCTGTTTCCGTGGCGTCAGTCCAGCGACACCTGACAACCTGCATCTATCACTCCCTTATTGAGAGAGAGGGATAAAGGGGAGTGAGGAGGAGGGCAAAGCGTGGGAGAGGGAGGGACAGGGAGATAAAATGGGAAGAGGAGGACAGCAAGAGGGACGAAGAAAGGTGGATGAGAACAGGAAAGAGGAAGATGAGAAAGATGATAGTGAACAGTGCTGTGGAAATGGTAGGTGAGGCAATCAAACAAAGAAGTCTATATGATAGTTCTCATACATATGCCTATTTGCATGTTTGCATATGTTGATGTAGAATGGAAAGGGGTGTCTTGGTGAATCACTGGGCTAAAAGTGTGTCACGAAACTCTTGTGTTAGATTTGAATTTGGCCCAGGAACCTTGTAGCTTTGTTACCTCTCTCACCCACTACCTATACACCTATATACCTACCTTTTATGTTGTTCTCCAGTTAAAACTATCTAATAAAAACCTAAGGTAGCAAGAAAAGAAAACGAATGGGAGGAAGAACTTACGGTCAAGAGAAAGTTAAGGGTGTAACTTCAGGAACGATAAAAACTGTTCAAAGAGTATTGCAAGCAAAAACACACACTAACATTCATATTACACAGTCAGTACAGTGGTGGTACAATTGTCATGCAGCAGGTGGACGTACACACACATCGCAAAGGAGATTGCAGGGGATTTGAGGCCCTCATAGATCTTCCTTACTCACATTGACGCACACACACACACACACACACACACACACACACACACATCACACGCACACAGACACACAGGTACAAACTCACACGTTATACATTGGATCCTCCAAGAACCACTCTGTTCTAAGCCCACCCCAGTGCACAATAATACACATGAAGACAGAAATAAAGACACATACACACACACGTGAACAGAGAGCTACGACATTCTGATTTAAACCCTTCTTTCCCTTCAGGATGAATATGTCTGTGTCTGAGAATACAAAAGGAGCTGTAATGTAAGCCTACAGTACTTGCCCCTTTCTGTATATGTACAGTCTGTAATATCTAGTACATTTGATCCAAATGTAATACTTTAATTAACAAAAAATATGAATTATTATTATTTCCTATTGACACCGACCTCCACAGTAGAACTCAACGTGTGTAGGTGCAGTTTTTATTTGCAGCCTTAGTGCTACCAGCCCTATAAGTGGCTCATTATCCATTTAGCAGCGCTTGTCTGTTTAGCCCTGCACCAACAAGGCCTTTTACTGACCACCACATTAACCCATGCAGATTTTGTGTCATTAGTACATTTAGCCCTATTGCTAGGTAAGTGTCCCTCTTAATTGCTAAATTAATCTGCTCCTTCTGTATGTAAAGGTTGGGTGTAAGCTAACCAGTCCCATTAGTGGTGTCCATTAGACTGTAAGGGTCTTCCCAGCATTTAGCATGTTTAGCCCTTACTTTAACTAACAAGACCGATTAATGAGCATCTTGTTACCCATTAACAAGTGTTTGTGCATTTAGCCTTTTCCCAAGCTAACTAGCCCCCTTAATCAGCCCAGTAATGAGAAAACATCCTCTCTGCAGCAGCAGTCAATAGTAATCACTGTTTACTCTGTTTCAGTGGGAGATGCATTGGCTTGCTGGGGTACTGTAGTTGTCAGGTGGGCACGGGAGGAAGGCAACAAAGGGTTTTCCTATTTCACATCTCAACACAGCTCATACTATAGATAAATAAACCTTCCTGAACAAAAAAGAGCAATTCTGTAACAGTCCAAACTGTCCTAACAAATCCATAACTGTGTTTTTGCTTTAGAACATACTGGAAGCAAATTACTAAGTGGAGGAAATGAGCAGAACTTTGGGAAAGTGAAGCTGAGAATGAGGAAACAAAAAAACAAAAAAGACAGGGAGAGGAAAACAGGAGGCACAGTACATCGTTAGAAAGGTCTCATTTAAACAGTAAATACAGAGAATTTAAAAATAGCAACGACAAAGGACAGTATAGAACTAGATGATGTAGAAAGATATAGATAAAGTATGGTAGAAGAGAAAGGAACAAAAGAAAGATACTGTTAAATATACACAGCAAAGAGAAAAGAAATAGCGAGGCAGTTGACAATTCAAGCGAGGTAAAAGTGGTGTTAGCCTCTAACACACTCCAGGTGTTGCTTTTGTTGGCAAGGGTTGTGAAGTTAATAGACTTACATCGGCTAATAATCTTAGCCTCAGCTCTACACCTGGGTGTTACCAGGAGTGAACTGCAGCTAGTCACGCAACCTCAGCTTGCTCTGCCATGACACATGCACATATATACCCATGTAACACGCGCATTAGATATATATATCCACACAAATACACTGTTTTCTATGCCAGTTTTGGCAGAGTGATAACTTTATGAGGTCACAATGCCAGGGCCATCTTAAAGTCAAAGGTCAGTACCAAGGTAGCGGAGTCAATTTTCATAAAAGTTTATTTTATTGTGTACATGTGTCTGTGTCTGTCTATAACCATTTTCCGTCTTTGTCCATTGATTAATCTAAATAAAAACATGTTGTACTTTATTTTCTGTGTTTTTCTTCCCATGTCTTTGTACAGCAGGATGTGCAGAGTACTTGTGTCTAACTGGTTGTCTTCCCGGCTGTCTGTTGATGTGTCTATCTAAAATGAAACCTTTGTTTCTGTGTTCCTCCAACATGTCTACATACAGGCAACATTGAGTACAGCTGTCCAGCCACCAACGAGTGTGAGATCACTAAGAGGAGACGCAAGTCATGCCAGGCCTGCCGCTTCATGAAGTGTCTGACTGTGGGCATGCTGAGGGAGGGTAAGGGAAAAGGTCTCTTCCTTATCTTTCTCTGTTAACTGTGCTACATGTAGCATTTTAAAGCCTATTAAATATTTTTATTTATTTTGTTAATAGATAATAAGGTTAGCCACTGCTACCAGCCTCAACAAAGCATTGTGCACCATGTGCCACTGCAGTACAGTCTTCCAGAAGTCATCTACCAGATTGATTTATGGCTCCTAGAGATATTGTTTTAGAGAATAAAACATTAAAAATGGCTTCAGTTTCACTTCACATGGTGATGTAAATATAAAAGCTATGGAAAAAAATGGAAAAAAACTTTTATTTAATACATCTGTATGTATCAAATAAATACATACAGATGACCAGTAAGGGGAATGTCGCCCTAAGTTTAGATACAAGTTATAACAAGTGCCATAAATACAGGCCAGTTGTCTGTTTAAACATGGTGTCACTGGTTTATGGTAAAGTATAATGATTATTTATTGATGTGGAACAATGCTACATGTAACACTTCTAAGAAATTGTTAATACTCCTTTTATATACAGTACAGTGATCTATTTTCATAATGTCCCTCTTGTTGACTTCTCATTTCCATGTCCATCTTACCACTTTCAGTCTTTTTCTACCCTTGTGTTCACAGCGGTTTCCTTAACATATGATGTACATGTTCACTTTTCACTTCCACATACACACAGTGTTTTACCTAAATGAGATAAACATAGAAATTACAAATTGCACCACTCACACTCAGCAGTTGTTCAGTGGTGAAGAAAGGTAAAAAAAGAGATATTATCTGCCCCCACACTACTTTGATTAAATACACTCACTCTCTCATTTTCACACTCCCTCGTTGCCTCTGCCTCTTTCTCTCCCTCTCGTCTGCCCACCTCTGACCTTTCTACTCCCACTGCACTTCCAACGATGAAAGGAGGGAGAGAAGTGGTGAGGGACGAAGAGGAGGGCCGATAGAGAGAGAGGCATAGGGGGAGGGGGAAGGTGGGAGAAAGCTAGGGGGAGGGAGGGGGGAAGGGAGGGAGAGAGAAGAGATTGATTTATAGGAGCAGAGGAGAGGGACCAGGGGAGGATGAGAGGCAGGGGGAGGATGGTTGAATGAAGCAGAAAGTGTGTGAGAGAGAGAAAGGAGAAGAGAGGAGGGTCAAGGTTGTAATTGATGGGAGACCTGGCCTACGCCCCCTTCCTTACAGTGGTCAGGGAGCGTGCCTCTGCCGACGCCTGCCAGCCCTCCCTCCATCCATTCCTGTCTTCATCTCTCCCTCCAATTCTCCCACTCAGTATTATTGTATTGTTTCTGTTGCGTCTCTTATGCCCGTCATCCATCCATTCTCCTCTTCACTTGCTGTTCTTTCCATCTTGCCGGGACACTCATCCATACCTGCAGCTTTTTACCCACTCAAACGTTATTATGTGAAAGAACATCAGTTGTATTAAAAAAACATGCATATTTTATTAACCCAACAAGCTGTTGATAAAAATATTGTATGAGTGGACAACTTAACATGCCATGTGTCACATTTCCCACCATGGCTACAATTAAATTATAAAAAGAAACATACAGCATCATTTTAACCCCTAAAACCTATAACAAAACAGCATGTTGATACATTTTCCTCAAAAAATGACACAAAGATTACATACAAATATTACTTAATCTGCAGTAAAACTTTCAATAATCTTTCAATAATTTTAATTCTAACATTGTAACTAAAACTAATATTTGAAAACAAAAATCTAAATTATATGGAGCTTGTCCCTGTCTTTAAAACATTCTTCATCCCCATTTTGCAAAATGTTTTAAAAGGGTACACAACACACAACAAGAAAACCTCAGAGCTTCACACACACACAATTCATATCACAGCCTCCAGCAGCCCCAGTTTTACTTCACAATAAAAGCATTCTCATCTCTCTCTCTCTCTCTCTCTCTCTCTCTCTCTCTCTCTCTCTCTCTCTCGCTCTCTCGCTCTCTCTCTGCACACACACACACTCCCAACAAGCTGCTGTCGTAGCGTTTGCTGTCTCCCAGTTGATCTGACATAGGCAGAACCTATGTCTCATCTCCTGTTTTGTCCCACGCATGTGTGTGTGTGGCCACGAATACACACACACACACATGTAAGTGCATGTATTATTGGCAGATCCAACAGTCTCACAGTTCACACAGCTCAGACTGCATCCTCCTAGACACAGAAACCACATTGCCCTTGTCGATAAAACTCCAGATAAAGCCATCCTTTGCAAGGGACTATTTTTAGTGATCATTTTCTTTTAAATACATTTTTTACCTATATTTTGTTTAGCAGTGACTGAACAAGAGAAGTAGACATGGTATTGATTTTAACTCTTAGGGATGTGGTTTGTCAACTAAGCCAATAAGAGAGCAGAACTATAGCTGCCTTTTGCTGCCGTTCTTTCCGTGCTCCACACACATACATCATGTACACACACACACCAAGGCCTACACATATATATACATCAACATGACAGACCACAGCCACCCCATTTGTTGTGCTGGGTGTGAATTTAATACAAGGGTTCCTACTTATGAATAAAGATCATTTGGAGAATTGATACACCAATTTTCTTATATATTTTCTTTTTGAACTGGGAAATTTGAAAAAGATCAATCACTAATAAAAAAAGGGGTTAAATGTATAACTTCACCTTTGCGTTATGCTGCATAGGATATCATTTTATGATATATAATTTATTGTCCTTTTTAAAACAGCTACCTTTATTGTAAAATTGAACCCAAATCCATTATAATGCACTGGTGTCATCGGAAAGGTCTTAACTGAACTGCAACATTACCAATAAAGAACATCTAGTCTTGAAATTACATTTGTTTTTCCTGAAAACCTCATGTCATCCTTAAAAATATCTGTGCCTTCCAAGCAAAGAAGGTGAGGTAGTTAATGAAGAGATTACACTGGACTAATAACAACATGCATCTTTAGAAATACCAATGTACAGAATGACATTGTTCTACTGACTGGTTAAACGTTTTATCACTGTTCCCCAACGAGCCTTCGCACACACAACATTTAAGAACAACGCTGTCACGCTTCCCTTCTGGGCGTATGCATGGATGCAGCAGAATTGCATAGATTTTAATGGTAAGTGGCTAGATCAGTTAGCATCAGAGCTAAATATGGTTGTCAGGGGCTAGCTCACGGGAGAAAGGTGAAGATAAAGTGGTAAGCATGGAGTGGGAGTGGGGTGGAGGACATGGAGTAGAGAGAGAGAGTGTGTGTGTGTGTGTGTGTGTGTGTGTGTGTGTGTGTGTGTGTGTGTGTGTGTAGATGCTGTAGTTTACCCCTTAGGGCAAGATCTGCCTCAAATTAGCTTTGTCGCCCTGGGAGACAGAGAGGGTGAGATGAAGAGCAAGTTAGGCAGCAAGGAAGTGTGTGTGTGTGTGTGTGTGTGTGTGTGTGTGTGTGTGTGTGTGTGTGTGTGTGACAGAAAGAGAGGGGAGAATAAGAGGCCAGAGGGTCAGTAAACCAACTCAAAGTGGAGCCTTTTCTTTACATGTTCTCTTAAACACACACATAATCACGTGAATACACACACACACACAAACACACACACACACACAGCCCTGTCTGTGTGAAATATTGAATGTTTCTTGCCCGGAAGAGAGGAGAGAAGAGGAGAGGAGAGGAAAGGAGTAAACGGGCAGGGGGGTAAACTGAAGGAATGAACGAACATGGGGCACCCACCCACCAATATGTAGCAGCTAATTTCTGGAGCGAGGCAATTAAAAGGCCTGACTATATTATGAGAACTTCCCCTCTGGCAATGGCTGTCTGTCCATTTTTAATGAGGTCATAATGATGCGTCAGCTGAAGCTCGAAAGGTCACAGGGGCGGGGCTTAAATCTGCCTAGAGGGAGGGAGGGGTGTAAGAGAACAGCGGTATTATTGCAGGTAAAAGATTTACTGAAAAATAATAAAACAGGAGAAGATTAAAACAGATTTTTAACAAAAGCTAACCTCATAAAATACATTTTGCTTTATTTATTTGACAAGTTAAAACAGTAAACAAGCAAAGGTTATAACAATGTACCTGTCACGGTTATTTCTATTACACAGCTGGCAAGGCAAGACAGACATAATACATTCAAATTCAGCACTAATGCATAGAATTGCCATGAACAGAATACAAAACACAGATCAGACATTTGAACATGAAAGGCTTTGGCAGATGCACACAGTCCAGGAGCCAGCAATATTCAGTATGCATGTATATTGTACATATGGTCATATTGACAGATTTCCTCCCTTACAACGTAGCGGCTTTGATGATGGCACGTCTGATGAATCATGGTTAAACAGACAGAATGTGTTGAATCCAAAACCAAAGCTTCCGTCTCTATATTGCCATAAACGGCCAGCTGGATTCGGATGGTAGACTACTAGAGAGACTAGTCCACAGACTGCAAATATAAACCTTGGCACACTTCCCCACACATGCACACACATATACACAGACACACACACACAGCCCGTGCCAACTTTGGCCGTGCTCCCCACGGCCTCTAAGACCTAATGAGTGAGATCGGGTGGAAGGCCCCAGTCTGTGTGAGTGTTAGCGCTTGTGTGTGTGTGTGTGTGTGTGTGTGTGTGTGTGTGTGTGTGTGTGTGTGTGTGTGTGTTTGTGTTTGGTGTGTATATACAGCTGGTAGTGTGCGTCATAACTCTCTTCATAGCTCAACAATCCTGACTGCTGCTATCCAATCTCATTTCTGCACACACATGCAGTCGCACACACCACAATCAAGGCGACACATGTTCAAAAGACACAAAGGACACATCGTAAAGGACACATTTCTTGAAAGATGTCAGGTAAAGAAGAGAATCCAAGAAGAAAGGAGGAAAGAACGAAAGTAGAGGAAGACTAGACAAGGAGAGAGCAAGTGATGGGGAGCGGGACAAGAGGAGAGGACGGGGAAACAGAGGAGGGGAGCGCCAGACAACTGGTGGCGTCTGGTGTTCCCCCATGGGAAACTTGTAGCTAAATCTGGCCCTGTAGCGTCTGTCCTGAGCGAGTGTGTGTGAGTGTTTGTGTGTGTGAGTGGCATCTGGTTGCATCCCAGCTAGAAAGGAGCGATAATGGAAAAACTGTGAGAGATCTGCCTAAGTGGTCTCTTTCACATACACTTTCTTTCTGTGTTGTCTTGAGAGGAGAGGAGATGTGGCAATAGCAATGTATTTAACAGAGGATACAAACACAATGTTGCTATTGTTTTCACTTGTACAAGAATAAATATATAAATATAATGTAGAGTGTAAAAAAATAGTATAAATGTATCAGTGTATTTCATACAGGAGCTTAAAATAAAAGGGGCTATTAATGTAGAAAAGGCAACATTTTCATAGGGACCTCACATGGTCTCACACACATGGCCACATTCACACATACACACATATTCACACACCAGTGACAGCCACCTGCCCACTGCCTCAGGCAGTGCTGTTCTGATCTGTTCTGGTCTAAACAAACGTCACTGCATGACACTACACACATTCCTCCTAACCTTCCCCCCCGCCCCTCTCCTGTGCTCTCTTTATTTTTCTTACTTTCTTTAAGATCTTGTGTCAATTGTTTTAATCTAAGCATAAAAACCTTTACTGACATAAAACAACCAGTTACCAAAAAATCTGTATTCTTGTATGCCTGTAGCTAAATATATATATATATGCATATGTTGCATGTTTATTTATTTTTCTATTTCTAGTTCTTCCTCTCACGCAGAGCATTCAGAGATACACACATACTCACACACACACACATTAGATTTAAATGGGTCTGTTGTTTTACCCAATCTACTCGGCCATCAGTTCTTAAACCCACATAGGAAAACCTTTTATATTATGACATCAACACTGCGGTTTAACACACACACACACACTCACAAATACACACACACAAACATAAGGTGATAACCTTCTCTAACAGGGTTGAGAGACTTCAACCCTGTTACAACTTCAATTACCATAAAACTCCACTCTCTCCCTCCATGTTTCCTTGTCTCTGCCGCTTTAAATGCTCTCTTCCTCTTGTGCTTTTTTGTCATCCCTCTTTCTCTTTGTTCTGTGAACAGAAATCAATCATTTTATTTGTCTCTTCCTACTCCTCTACCTCTCACTCCTGTTCTCATCCTCTTTCATTCTCTTATCATATCATTGACCATCTGAAATCAATCCATTTTGTCTTTCTCTCCGCTTTCCTCTTTTCCTCTCTCTTCTGCCTTTCTCTTCCCATGCTTGTCGCTTCTCTCTTCAAAAGCACTTAGGTGTCAAAGGCATTTCACTCGCAATCCCTCAACTGCTCAAACACACACACACACACACACACACACATACGCTGACATAGAGTGACGCCAGTGCAGTGTAAAATCTATGCTGATGTGATCAGTGCAGATCTCGCTATTGACAGGCAGCAATATTCCCACGATGGGAATGATTCACCTTCATCACTGTCACTGTGTGTGTGTGTGTGTGTGTGTGTGTGTGTGTGTGTGTGTGTGTGTGTGTGTGTGTGTGTGTGTGTGCGTATGCGTGCATGCATTACTATGTGTACAGCATATAACAAAAGTGTTACAAAATGTATACAAGTGTGAGTTAAAACAGGTATGTTACTTAAAATAGTAATATAGGTATCATTAATATATGGTATCAAACACAGTTTACACACACGGTACTCTGTAAGTAGAAGCAGTCGACTGAGTGTACTGTTAGTTGACATAATAATTAAAGTATATAATTAAGGTGTATAACCTCTGTGGACTCTTTTTCTCTCATTATTCTATTCTTATTTCCTTTTATTAGCCCTCACTTCATCTTTCCTTTTCTCTCTCATTTAATTTTTTTCTCATTCCCCTTTCTCCTTTTGTTTACTAGCCCATCTATTACCTACCCCTTCCCTGCTCCTCCTATTTCACAACCAGCGCTCTACTCCTCTCTCCTCAGCTCTTTTTTTTATCATAATCTTCCATTAATGCTTTTTTATCATGTTTTATCTACATTTTATTTCTCTTCTCTCTCCTTTTTATTCCATTTCTTACCCATTCACTGTTCAATTATGCTGTTCTTCACTTGCCTTTCCTTTTTGCACCTTTTTTTATTTTTTATATTTCTTACATTTCCTCTCCCCTGACTCTTTTCCTCTCTTCTCATGTCCTCATTCCTTCCCTCCTCTCCTCTCTTACCCATTCTTTATGATTTGAAGGCTCATTTGTTAAGAGGAGGTAGAGCACTCTCACTCTCCCCCCTAGCCTCCTCCTGTCTCTTTTTGGTGGGCTTTGGAAATATAATTTTCAATTTTTAATTTGATTCATTTAGATTTGATCATTAATCAGTGCTGAGAGAGAGTTAATTTGGTGGAAAATAGATGAGGTAGTTAGAGAGGGCTCTTTATAAAGTGAGCTCAGCATAGCACTTGGTCTTTTAGGTGTAAGAGGAAAAAAATGAGAGTCTGAATGTGAGAGTTTGTGTGTGATAGGGGAAAAGTGTGCATGCAATAGAAAGTAATATGAGAGGAAGTGTGTGTAGATTGACAACGCTCATTTTAGTGTGCATTAAAAGTAAATAAAAATGTTGCCGTGCAGGCTGTCAGCATCCACTAATCCAGGTGAATTATTGTATGACGCAAAGGCAAAATGCTGTCCCGAACCAGGAGTAGCTAATGGCAAGAGTTCTCTGGAAGCAGTGTTAGTTGCAGACGCTTGCATTACACCAGGCTAACTTCTCCCACTGGTAATATTACAGTCGGTGGTGTTTTATTCTGTTTTGATACTATGTTGCCCTTTTAAATGAGTGGCCAGGCTGGTGGTGCCACCTGGATATTTCAATGGTGCCATTCATGTTTTGCATATTACAGGGACTCAAAAGTAGTGTAGCTGTGTGATTGGATGATTGAGCTCATTATTTAAGTATTATAAATATACAGATATGGAAAAAGACAAGTTTGTCCAAAATAGCCCTTTGGCACCAGCATCAAGTAATTTAATAATTAAGAACTCAGGGAATTTCTGTGTGATTTGAATATATGTAGCCATGTTACTAGAAAACACACTCAAACCCTTTCTTTCGCTTAGACTTTATTTGTCTTCTGCCCATTTCTGCCATCTTTTTACTTTCCCTCTGTCTCCCTCTCTTCCTCTGACCAGCCACTGACCCAGGTAGTGACTGAGCAAGCTGCTTGTCGGGGCTTACCCAAACACAACATGGGGGTGTGTGAGAGAAAGCAGAGAGTGGGTGTGTGTGAGTGGGTTTGTACCCCCTGGTGTTAAGAGTTTCTTGACCGTTTGCTGACACTGCCCTCCCACCCCCCACTGTACCTGGACTGTCAGCCCTTCTGTCAACCTATTCCTGTCTCAAGCACACACACACACACACACACACACACACAGGTGCATTTCCTGTTCAGTTCACTGGGTTGGCTGCTTCCTGGGCAAGTTAAAGGTTTTTAAATGACCAAAATGTGTAAAAGCGGCCACCAAAAGGTTCTCATGTACAAAACACAAATAAAACAGGGAAACAGATGCACTTACAAGCACTTTCAAATGCCTACGGATGCACAAAAATGCTCCCAGACATATTTTTTTTCCTTTTCTGCCAATAGGTAAGTCTTTCTGTTAAATCTCTTAGGTGTGTTGTCTCGGTCATGGTCAGCACATTTTTCAGAGGATTTAAATCTGTGTGTGTTAGAAAATGTCTCTCATGCTCTCTCAATCTCTTATGTCATTTATATGATATAGGTTAAAATATAGTGGACCTAAAAAAATTTGAGTATCATGACACATTATATTTATTGTAAGAGTGACCCATCTTCTCCCTCTCCCTGCAGCAATTCTGAAAAGGCCATTTTGCATCCCTTCTAGAAATAGCCTAGGATTAGTTTTGAAACATGTGATAGCCTTTTCAGATTGCTCCTCTCCTATCCTCATCCTCTCCTTTTCCTCCCCTCTCCTCCTCCAGGGCACATGACACCTCTGTCTTCCTTATCCACCTTTAAGTGGTAACCACGGTAACATCCAATCCCCTGAGAGATAGGCCTAATTAAATTAGGACTCCTTTGTGTCAATTAATTAACGAGACAGAGAGAGAGACAGCAACAGAGAGATTGGGCAAGAGACAGGAAGAGTGAGTCAGAAAGCCAGAGAGATAATGTGAGAGAGAGAGAGAGAGAGAGAGAGAGAGAGAGAGAGAGAGAGAGAAGGGCCTTTTACTCAAATGGTGTCTCTATAAATTAATCTTGTTGTAGAATAAAAGGGGCACGTGAGTATAGCAAGCTCGACAATAACATAAAAGTGTGTGCATGCATAACAAACACACATGCATGCACTGCAGAAACAGGACAGTTATCACCACTTCACACCCAGAACTCATATGTAATCATCCTCCAGTCCACTCTTTTTTTATCTCCCCCCCTATTTCCCTTCATTTCCACTCTCTCTTTTTAGATTTATTGCATACTAGCAAATTTGTTATTTTATCTTTTTGTTAAGTTGTCAAAAAAAAAGTCCACTTTTCTCTTCCTCTTTAAGCCACAGTGTATTGATATACTTCTGTCATTTCTTACAGGTGTTCGTCTGGACAGGGTTCGTGGTGGGAGACAGAAGTATAAACGCCGGATAGATGCAGATAACAGTCCATACCTGAACCCACAGCTGGCTCTACCTCCCAAGAAGCCATGTAAGAACACACGCACACATGCACAAACTCTTTTTAACGGTATATGTGATGGACCTTTTTTCTCCAAGGTTTTGGAAGTGATTCTCAAGGACAGAAATTTGCATTCTGTCCTTGGTGCACAGTACCTCATACTCTACAAATTGACAAATGTGCAACAGTATCTGACACAGTGTGCAAAAGGAACAATGAAAGACATACCATGGATAGTACACAACGAAAATCCTCACTAGAAATAATAAACAAATATTCAAATTCTACCATATTGTATCACTATGTGTAGGCAGTGTTCATGTTATGGGCAGGAGAAGTACAAGGAACTGTCTTTCCATTACGTTCTATCCTAATGGAGACAGTTGGACAGTAAAAACATTTGAACACACACACACACACACACACACACACACATAAATAGACACAGGGTAGTGAGAAGCCCATCTGTTTGGGACCAAGTTTATCTCCCTGTCTCTACTGCTACCAGTTTGGGGTCATAACATTTTATATGTGCAATATTTCACTATAAAGGTATTCATTTAGCTCCGACTGGATTGGCTGCGTTTTTTAAAGAATAAAACCGTCGCCAAAGCCTGATGATTGAAAAATTAACAAGAGAGAGAGAGAGAGAGATGACTGAGAGGTGGGAACAGAGAGAGTGACTAAACCTAAATGAGGAGGTTTCTCAGAGAGAAAGAGAGGGAGAGAGGAGAGGGGAGGGAGGGAGAGAAAGAGAGGAAGGGAGGGAGGGGGCTAGCCAGAACCCTAATCCGGATTAAATCCAATCTGGCAACCACATCAAACTAGAGTTAGCTCTTTAGCTAACCGTCTGCTCGCACACATAACACACACACACACATACACAGTGCAGATTGAGCAGTGTTTAGCAGCTTGGTCCCCAAAGCCCATTTTGCTTAAAGCTGGAGCATATTCTGCTTTAGGCCAATATGCTGAATGGCTGCACGACAGCTTACCGGGACTTCAGCACTACTAATCATTGAAATGATGGGATAATGTTAATGTGTGCTCAAAATGTGTGTGTGTTTATAATGCATGAGGGGGGCGGGGTGCATATACAGATGTGTGTATCAGCTAACTGAATGTCTTCACTGGTGGGCTATAGACCAATTTTAAAGATATAATTAACTCTTTAGTCTTGTTATTATTTATATCAAACATTTTGGCAGAGTAATTTACTGGAATCCCCAGTGACCCCTCCAAATAGTTATTCAGACTGTATTCCCTAGTTTACATCTTTCTCTCAATGTATGTGAGAATACATATATCTGTCTGACCTAAAGACAAACCTACACTTGAAACACAAAAAATATAGGGTTGATATAGACTTCCTAGGTCTCTCTTGTTCTTTTCCTCTCTCACACAGTCAATACACACAAAAAATCTTTTTGTCCCTCTGTCTCTCTCTCAGATACACGCACACAGCCTATCTATCTGTAGCCCAATCCCTAGCCTCAGCGTCCCCATTGATTGTGTGAGAACAGAACAATAGCCCAGGGTTTGGAAATGGGCTTCCATTGATTCTAATTAGGGAAACATTAAATAAGATTTACCCACAGATACTGCAGTGTGACTGGGATTGGTTTGGCTCAAACGACCCTGTCGCTGGAGCTGGAGGAAAAAGGATGGAAAGAATATATATATGTACAAGTGTTTGTGTGTGTGTGTGTGTGTGTGTGTGTGTGTGTGTGTGTGAATCGGGGGTGGAGAGTGTTAGATCAATACACAACTCATCCCCCCAACTCTGTTTCACTCCCTCTTGCTGTTTATCTTTATCTAGCTGTCGCTCTCTCTCGACTCTTCCTGTCTGTCTTTTGCAATCTGTCCATGGCTCTATTTCTACCTGTCTGTCTTCCCTATTTGCCTATTTCTCTCTCTCGTTTCGTCTATCCCTCGCTCCTCCCTTGCTCTTCTATGCTCTGTTATTATTCCCATGCTTGATTAGTCAGTGGATTAATTTGGAAGCAGGGTATCAGTCTGTTACTAATGGGCCATAGAGATCTCATCACCACATGTCACCATTACCAGCTGAGCTGTTTGGCTTTCAGTATTATCTTTCCCTTCTGTATGTACTGTATCAGGGAAGCTTCTTAAGGCAGAGATACAAAAGACAACGTTTTGGCTAACCTGAACCACCAGCAGTAATCGCCTTTAATCACACCTTGAAGCATCTCCTAAACTGGAAACATTTCAATAATTTTTTCATCTTTAGTCCTGCCAGATTACCGGAATCAAATCAATTATCTTGCTTGATTGTTGAAAAATTACACGGGACATTACAAAGCATTGTAGTCAAGCAGCCTCTTATTTGATCTTGTTACTATTGCATATTGGGATATGAAATGGCATAAAAACTGCCAACTGACAGTGAATTGCAAAAAACTATTATACTATATTTTATACTGTATACAATCATATCATACTGTAAACATGATAATGTAAAAACATGGCTTTTGATGGTTTTCTTAAGAAAATGTGTTGTTTAATTACATTTAAAGAGTGCCAAACAAGTTTAACATTCTCCCAGTTATACACATTCATGATTGTATATACTATGGAGTATACTGAAATGTATTGTGTGTTGATTTGATACATGTCTGTGTTTCTGTCTCTTAGTCTAATGCTCATGTCAGCTGCTTCTTTTTTTTGCTTCTTGGTGAAATACCTTGAAAAATATGTGTTATCTAGCAAGCCATGTTATCAGGATTTTTGAATATGACCTTTCACATTTTTGCACCGGATTGGTGTGGAACAGCTTGTAGACTAATACGGCAAAAATTCACCATCTCTCTGTCTCTGTGTCTTTCTCCTTGTCTGGTGGTCATGTCAGTTGCCTTTGGCTGCCTTGCAGATAACAAAATCGTCTCTCACCTGCTGGTGGCCGAGCCAGAGAAGATTTACGCCATGCCTGACCCAACAGTACCAGACAGCGACATCAAGGCCCTGACTACGCTGTGTGACCTGGCGGACAGAGAGCTGGTGGTGAACATCGGCTGGGCCAAACATATCCCAGGTAGGAAAAAAAAAATTAACACTGAACCTAAGCTGACTTCATGTTGTGACACTATCACACACACACACACACACACACACACACACACACACACACACACACACACATACATATACATACATACTTTTTTTTTTTTTCATACACACAGCCACGCACATATACAGTAAAGCCACACAAACACACATGCTGTGTGAATTGGCAGAGAGAGTACAAGGTTAGAATTAGCTGCTCCAGATGCAGATTTATATACATGCAAGTACACATGGTGCTAAGGTGTGACCTTTCACCCTAATCCTGAACTGTTGACTCTCCCTGCTGACCAACCAAATGCCCTCATTGGGATCACACCTTCCCCACCTACACACACACACACACACACACACACACACACACACACACACACACACACACAAAAAGAAATTCTGACCTTTTGAACCAGTCCAATCTCCTTACATTCTGCACCTGCAGTGACTGTACCAGTATGTGTATGAGAGACACAATGTGTACTTGGAAAGAACATGCTTTGAGGTAATTGTTGTCTTAAGTGATGAGCATATTCATTCATATTTTTGTGTGGAAAATCCTTAATATACTATGTAAAACCACATAGAGATTTTTGAAATCAAACTCAAGTACAAAGAAAATGTCTTATTCTAATGAGGAAGCAGTGAATATTGTTTTTGATACATGCAGTAAAATGAGATTTCTGTAGGCGCAGCAGTGTCCCTCTGCAGGTTCATCGCCACAACAGAAGAATTTAATCTAATCAGTTTAAACTAACTCTTCTCTCTTAATCTGTTCAAAATTGGATCGGGACAACAAGATGAGAAAATTAAAATAATGGCAGATTCACAAATGAGCCAAACATGAGAAACTGAGTAAATGAGCATGATTGATGTTGATGAACGCTAAAATGAAGAAGAAGACAGGGAGCGAGACGTATAAGCAGAAGAGATGAAAGCTATAATCTGGTTTTGGTTTGCAGTGAGGAGGGAAGAGCAGTGTCTCATATTAACACAGATTAGCACAAAGATTAGTCAACTGGAAATGGGTATAGAATAGACTAGAATAGATTTACCTTCTGCTACCAATGTTCAAACATTATAGAGGGTTGTAAAAGTATAGGGGGAAACCCCAGATTAGAGGCATAAATACCACTCAGTCATGCTACGTAAATCTATAACAGTAAAGTCAATGGTGTTGGATAACAGGGTTTCCAAATGATATATATTATATATTATCAATACATGTGAAAATAACAGAGAGAAAGAGAGAAAAAAGACATGGAGAGAGAGAAAGAGAGATGGGAATATACATTGATCTTGTTAGTGTATTGATCTATGTGCTGCTATATGGACAGTAACCAGACATATATATTGATCCATATACCAAATATAGCTCTTTGAATATTTATTTTTCTCTTTCAAAACAACATATAGCCTCAATCCAATACTATTTCCTTTCCACTAATCTCTCTGTCCTGCCTTTTATTCTTTTTTGCTTTCTCTTTTAATCCATTTATCTCTCTCCCCTCTTTCTTTGTGTCTCTCTCCATACCTCTGGGATGCCCCTGCACTATATATAACATAGATATAGAAAATGATCACAAACACACACTAACATACTTATGATGTACAGTATATTTAAGTGTTTGCATTGGGCTTGCCTTTTCCTTTTGCTCACTACTTTTACAAGTGAATGGACTGAGTTTAGCCAGGTTATGTGCTGGGTGAGTGTGTGTGTGTGTGTGTGTGTGTGTGTGTGTGTGTGTGTGTGTGTGTGTGTGTGTGTGTGTGTGTGTGTGCGCAGCTTTCTGTGTGGAGGGAGCGAAGCGCAGCGATTGCTTGGCGGAGGAGAGAAGATGGCGTGATTAGATGAACGAGAAAGGCAATCCACTGCTCACAGAGAAAGATAGAACTCTTCATCTTCCAAGTGTGTGTGTGTGTGTGTGTGTGTGTGTGTTGTTTGTGATGACTTTATGAAATCCTCATTGTTTACAACACTGAACACTCATCTAATACTCTCTCTCTCACACACGCACATACATGTACACACAGAAAGTGATCTACTGTTCACTCAGGGTGGAAAGGATTGTCAGAAAGACACACACATACACAGACACACACACACACAAAAGGCAAACAATACAGAGTCTACAATGACTTAAGTTATGAATAGAATAGAAAAGAATAGACCTGTTAACCTTTTTTGAGCCGTCTTGTTTCACATCTTGTCAAGTGCGTGTACGTGTGTGTGTGTGTGTGTGTGTGTGTGTGTGTTTGAGACTGACTCTGTGCAGGGTGTACATGTGAACACACACATGCACACATCTTTGCTCGCCATGGTACAGTAATTTTTTTAATCAAATTGATGGAGAGAGACAGAGAAACAAAGAGAAAAAAGACAGAGGTAGAGAGCGGAGAGGTGAAGCCAATTTATGCTTCATGATATAGCGCTGCGCTGCGCACACACACATACGCACATACGCACACACAGGCTGCTAACAGTGGTAACAACGTGTCAAGGCGAGCGCCAGGCAGCTAATTTGAAGTCATTAGATGTCTGCCGTACTGGCAACAATTTGTTACGCTCACACACGCACAAACACACACACAAAAACACATCACATACACACACTGAGTTAAGAGCCGTCTGCGGATAGCGAGGAGGCTAAATTGTAAACTAATTTAAACATCACTCAGCGTTAGAGAGGCTGCCTGCAAGACAGGCCCCCGGATAACAAGGCTAGGGTACGTGTGTGCATGTGTGTGTGTGTGTGTGCTGCTAGTCATGTTTGACACACAGACTCGCCCCAACCTTAGAGACTTGTGACAACACACACACACATATACACACGTCTCTTTGATTGGTTCTTTTATTCTAAAGCTGTGTGTGTATCTGTGTGTGCACGCTCATTTCCATTCTGATATGGCCTATATGCAAACATTTGATATGTCATTAGGAGAGGAAAATGAGGTTTCAGACACAGTGTGTGTCTCTTGTTTCCACAAGGAATGGGACACTGTCACGCACATGCATCTCACAAATGCACAAAGAGAGATGAAATGCAAGCAAACACATAAACACTGGAAGCCTTTCTGCTGATTCAAACTGGGAAACACAGATGAGTGGCCCCACACACACGTAGGGTATGAAGCATATGAGCAGTACACTGTCACACTCAGGAAACTGTGGGTATGAGGAAATATCGTAGGAGCTGCTATTCGGAGGTTGTGAAAGGCTTTGGCGTCCAATAATATGGATTAGTGAAGAGAAGATCTCATTTTAATAGCTCTCAAAGAGACAACTCCAGTGGCATATTAGACTTCATGTCATAGTCAAGTGTGTGTGTGTGTGTGTGTGTGTGTGTGTGTGTGTGTGTGTGTTTTGAAGGAGGAATGAGGAGTGGTCAGGTTAGAGGAGGAGGAGAAGAACAGCAAATATTTAAACAAGAGCGAATGAGAGAGTGAATTAAAAGAAAGAAAGGCCATTCAAAATGAGCCATTTATCTGTCTGTAGAATTAGTCTTTTCATCCTCTTTTCTGTTCTCTCTCTCTCTCTCTCTCTCTCTCTCTCTCTCTCTCTCTCTCTCGCCATAATAACTAAATGACTACCAGGCAGTCATGCCAGCAGCTCTTATCTAGACTCGCGGACACAAAAGGGAAAGACAGACAGGCGAGCACTTGACTTGACGAAAGAGCAAAGAATGAACAAATGAATGAATCAACGAACGAGGGGCAGAACCTATAACACAGCCTATTTTACCAGAACCAGGGGCCTTGCCATTAGTGTTTTTTTACAACCCCCTCCCCCATTCTTTCTTTATTCAAAAGAGAAATTGTTCTCGGGCCGCCCCCCACTTCCCCTCCACTATTCTCTTGCTTCCCTATCTCCACTTGCTCTTTCTTTTCTTAGTCTCTCTCTCTCTCTTCTTTTCGTTCCCCTTTCAATTTTGACACTCAGGATAAGCAGTCTATGTGTCGGCAGTATGATTGAGCTGTAAAAATGGGGGAAGGGAGGTAGAGGGGGGTTGCTGTCGGTCTATTCATTTAATCTGTCTTTATGGAGATATGGGAGAAGGGGTTTGGGTGGTGGTGGTGATGGGATAGTAGGTGAGGAGTCTTCATGTTCTGCATGCTACTCCCTATCTTTTTGTCAAATTCAGTCATTTATTGGCCTGTCTCTTTATCAAGTGTTTCTTCCTCTTACTCCTTGTTTGGATTTGGGGATGAGCATAGATACTGAAATACCCATTGGAAATGCAAACTCTTTTCATAGGAAGATGAACAGTTTAGTTCCCAAACTACAAACTGCCCCACATCCTCTGAAACATATTAAGGTCACTTAATAAAACATAGAACTCATAGTCAGCGCTAAGGCACGCAGAGACCAGCCCTTAAAACAGTAACTCAGGGTCCGCCAGCCCTGAACATGTTAAAAGTGTGTTTCTACAGGTTTACTTTAGCCCTGCATTGAACAGCCCTCCTCCCAATTCAGTTTAAAGGGCTTTAGAGTTATCTTAACCTGTAAGAGGCTAATTTACAAAGATTAATCACTGTCTGAAAATTAACATTCTTATGGTCTACAAATCCTTTATTTTACAGTGAGTTTCTACTTTGAACAAGTTTGACATGAAGATGATTATAATATATGTGATTGGGTTTACCCAGTGAAGTTCTCATTTTGATTGAATAGGAAGGACACTTCCAAATAGAGGGCTGGGCAAGAAAAGCTCAGAGTTTCTCTATAGCCAGCAGTAAACAACAACAAATACTATTTGTTTAGCTGTTTCACATTATCTGTGGAGTTCCTCAAGGATCAATTATAGGTCCCATTCTTTTTATTTTTATTTTTTTAACAAAGCGAGCTAGATGTTATAAATATCTGGAATCTAGGTAATTCCACACCCTAAGCTGCACCAATGTTTTGCACAGGCATTAAAATGAACTCTCATTATGCCAACTAAAGTAAAGCTGTATTTGTGGGCTGTATTTTCAATT